TGCCGTGGCGTCATCCTAGCTCACAGCAACCTCAAACTCCTGGGCTCAAGCAATCCTTCTGCCTCAGCCTCCCGAGTAGCTGGGACCACAGGCATTCATCACCATTCCCGGCTAATTTTTTCTATATATTATTTCTTTCTATTTTTAGTAGAGACCGGGTGTCGCTCTTGCTCAGGCTATTCTCAAACTCCTGAGCTCAGACGATCTACCCGCCTCAGCCTCCCAGAGTGCTAGGATTACAGGCTTGAGCCACCGCGCCCGGCCCCTTCATTTCCACTGTTGTGTGGGGTTTTAATGTATGACTGACTGTACTACAACTTTTTCTGTGTCCTTTGTGTTTCCATATACAGTTTGAAATCAGCATGTCAGTTTCCAATAAAGAAAGCCTGCTGAGATTTGATTGGCATTGCATCAAATCTTTAAGTCAATTTGGGGAGAATTGACATCATAATAATATTGGGTCTTCCTATTCATGGTATCTCACTCTATTTAGGTCATCTTTTTTGTTTTTTTTAATTGAATTTTTTTTTTTTTTTAAGAGACAGGATCTTGCTCTGTCACCCAGGCTAGAGTACAGCGGCACAATCGTTGCTTACTGTATGCTTTAACTCCTGGGCCCAAGTGATCCTCCTGCTTCAGCCTCTGGAGTAGCTGGGACTACAGGCATGGGCCACCACACCCAGCTAATTTTTTTGTTTTTTGTAGCGATGGAACTTGCTGTGTTGTCCAGGCTGGTCTTGAACTCCTGGCCTCAAGTGATCCTCCTACTTCAGCTTCCCAAAGTGCTGGGATTACAGGCGCGAGCTACCACATCCAGTCTAGGTCATCTTTAATTTTTCTCAGTGTTTTGTAGTTTCCAGCGTAGAGGTTTTACACATATATTGTTAAGAGTAAACATATTTCCAAGACTCTCAGTAAAGTAGGAATAGAGGGGAGTCTCATCAACTTAGTAAAGAATATCTACAAAAACCCCATCTTTTCTCCATTGCATTGCCTTTGCTCCTTTGTCAAAGAGCAGTTGACCATATACATATGTGGGTCTATTTTTGGGCTCTCTTTTCTGTTCCATTGATCTATTTGTTCTTTCACCAGTACCACACTTGATTACTGTAGCTTTATAGTAAATCTTTAAGTCAGGTAGTGTCAGTCCTCTTTGTTCTTCACCTTCAATATTGTGTTGGCCATTCTGGGTCTTTTGCCTCTCCATATAAAGTTTGGATCAGTTAGTTGATATCTACCAAATATTAATAACTTGCTGGGATTTTGATTGGAATTGTACTGACTCTATGGATCAAGCTAAGAACTGACATCTTGACAATATTGAATCTTCCTATCCATGAACATGAAACATCTCTTCATTTATTTAGTTTTTTAATTTCATCAGCATTTCATAGCATTTTCTTCATATAGATCTTGTACATATTTTGTTAAATTTACACCTAAATATTTCTTTGGGATGCTAATTTAAATGGTATTTTGCTTTTAATTTCAAGTTCTACTTGTTCATTACTGGTATATAGAAAAGTGATTGACTTTTGTATATTAACCTTATATTCTGCAATCTTGCTATAATT